AAAAGAGAGCTTGACTCTAGGAAATAAATAATAGCATTATGGAAATATTCATACTATTCAAAAGAAAAGGGAAACCATAATCTTGAGTCTTTTTAATGTATTTTTTGCATTTCCAAGGTGGTTTTAATGTGGTTGTGCCTGGGGGAATGGCTGGTGCTGGGGGCACTCTTGCTGGTCACAGATTAACATCTAAAGAGTAGGTGGTTTCCTGAGGCATTTAAAGACTGACTTCCTTCATTCTACAAATATTTGTTAAGCACTTACTCTGAATAAAAAGGCTAAACAAAACAAAACAAAACAAAAAACAAAAGTCTCTACCCTCAAAGTTTACTTTTCACTAAGAGTTTACTGTTCAACCAAAACTATTCATTTGAGATCAGTCTCAGTGCTTTATCAGATATGTCAACCCAACTTGGCGTTAGGAATGCTTCAAGAAAATGCCCTGAAGTTTGAAAAAAATAATGGTCAAAGCAACACTTTGATACTATTTCTCAGAAAGATGTCTTTGATAATCTGCTGAATAAATTCTAGCAGAGGAATACGGATTGGACCTATGACTCCCCTTTCCCCCTACTGTCTCAGCTGAGAACCTTGCCTCATATTTCACTGAAGGAAAAAAAAAATCAAGATGTTTGTAGAGAAAATTTAGTAATGCCCTCAGCACCAATTGAAGTATAAGGGATTGCTTGCATTTACTTTTTATTGCTATAGATTGCCTAAAAAGAGACAAATATAACATTAAAAAAAACAGATTTCCCAGTTTCTTCAGCCTTGGCAGCTCTTACTTCTTTTTATGATATAGTTTGCTTTAAAATCATTTCTATTTGTGAATGCATTCCTCTGTACTTTCCTACCCAAAGTCATCCCTTATAACAAAGATTTAAAACTATAGGAAAAAAGTTCAATAAAACCAACTAATACTTTAACCTTCTTTGAGAGAATGTGCAATATTCCACAATGATAGTCCCCCACTTCTACAAAGAAGGAAGATTTCACATTTCAACTTTCACATTATTTCACATTTCGACTTTCCCCAATGTGGTTTTGCTATATCTCGGTTTGGCATAAGAAATAAAATGGGAATTTTGGGGGAGTTTTGTGGAAGCTGCAGACGACTTGTGAAGGCCAGAAGATGACACAGAAAAAGTTTAGAAACTCATAAAAGAGTGTGTATGTATGTATGAATGTACATATGTATAGTACTGCATAATATCAACATGTTTTATCTTTAATACCATAATAATACAGACTTCTCTGTACGAAGAGAGGGCAAAAAAGTTTTACAGACATTTTCAGATCGCTCCTTGTTCCTAATCCCTGTGATATCAAAAGGGATAACTGTATTTTCTCAACTTTTTATGAATGGCCATTAAAACTACACAGTGCTCAGTCTTTCCATTTGCATTGCTGTAATCATTGTGTATATCATCTGTTTACTTAAATTTGCAGCGGTATCTTCCAAAGCTTCTTTGAATTCTTCAAATTTATGACTTTCTTATGATGCAGAACCACACTTTGTTTAGCCACTTCCTTGTTGAAGGACATTTGTTCTGTTTCTAGTTCTTTGAGACTACAAATAGTGTTGCTATAAAATGTTTGGTTGTATATGAAATCTCTCTGGTTTTGATCTCCTTGCGTTATATGTTTAGCAGTGGGATCTCTTGGCTCAGACTGCATATGAACATTTTAGTTTTCTTGGGTCCTTGAAGGCTGTGTCAACAGAATGCAAATGCTGGTATTAGGACCTATCATAGTAGAAAAACTTTGAGTATAGACCCAGTGCTACCAGCATCATCCTCACCCTCAAGAACTAGTTTTGGAAAGATTTGTCATCAGAATAGCTGCAAATAGCGCATTTTGGAGCCACAGCAATTCTCAAAGACAGTCTATACTGGGTTATAGTGTCATAGCGGCTAATCTTGAAGTCAGGAAAACCCGAGTTCAAATCCTGCTTCAGACATGTACTAACTGTGTGACCCAGGGTAAGTAACAACTTCTCTCAGGCTCAGTTGTCTTATTTCTGAAATGAGGGATTTGGACTCTCTGGATTCTAAGGATGCTTTCAATTCAGTTCTGTGATCCTATGACTGGGAGATATTAATCTACTTTGGTGGAAGGAATACAGACAATGAAATACTGGAAACTTGTAGTCAGCAGTATGGAATAGCCTTCCTTTGAAATGCTGACCATTTGTAATTTAGCTAAATCCACACAGTCACAGAAAAGTTCATAGTCATCGTCTACTTGAATTAAGTGACTACTTGGTGCCAGTCCCTGTGATAAATACTGGAGATACAAAGAAAGGAAAAAGAAAAAGAAAAGAGTCTGCTCTCAGGGAGCTCACAGTTTAATGTGAACAACTGTACACAAACAAGATATAAACAGGATAAATTAAAGATCATCTCAGAGAAGAGGCAATAAGATGTAGGAGGACTCCCACCAAAGGTGGGAGCTTAACTGATGCTAGAAGGAAGCCAGGATGAAAGGATAAGGAGAAAGATAGTTCCGGGCATGGAGGAACAGCCAATGAAAATAGTCAGGAGAGGAAGTATTGTATCTGAGAAACAGTACAGATGTATTCAGCATCACTGGATCTTAGAGAATATTTGAAGGTAAGTGAGGTGTAAGAAGACTGGAAGGTAAGAAGGGGTCAGGTTAGGAAGGGCTTTAAAAGCTAAACAGAGGGTTTTATATTTGATCTAATCTGATGATATTATATTAAAACATCCCACCAAAGTCTCTGCAAAATTAGCTAGACTGGAAGTAAGAAGGAGCCTCTATTGGAGTAGTATAGATTAGAGGAATGGTGAGAGTGGAGGGAAAGAGAGTGATATAGTTAAACATTTTTAGGAAGATCAATTCAATTTGACAGCTGAGTGGAGGATAGAGTGAAGTGGGAGAGATACTTGAGACCTGGAGATCAGTCCTCAGGCTATTGCAACAGCCTAGGCATGAGGTGATAGGGGTCTGCATCAGGAGGGTTGGCAGTGTTAGAGGAGACAAGGGGATCACTGTGAGAGATGTCATACAGATAGAAACAATAGGACTAATCTCTTGATTGGATATGGGAGGTGAGCACTCAAGGATGAAATTGGTTGTGACTGTGAGTGACTGGGGTGATTGTGTAGTAGTAATAAAGAAGTTAGGAAGAAGGGAGGATTTGGAGGAAATGATAAAAAAAATTCAGTGTTGGTCATGTTGGTCAGGTTGAGTTTAAGATGTCTATGGGACATCCAGTTCGATATATCTAGTAGATAATTGGAGATGTGAGACTGGATGTTGGAATAGAGGTTTAGGGTGGACGTGTAGATATCAGCCATCTACATGAAGATGACACATCCATGAGAGCTATTGAAACCACCAAATGAAGTAGGATGGAGGGAGAAGAAAGGCCAGGACAAACCCTTAAGGGACCCCTATGGTTAGTGGACACTACCTGGATCCAGCAAAGGAAATGGAAGAGTGAGTCAGACAGGTCAGATGAAAACCAGGAGAGATTACAGTCAGGAAAACCTAGAGACAAGAGAGTGTCTAGAAGAAGAGGGCGGTCAACATTGTCAAAGGCTGGAACGAATTTGGACTCAGAGGCCCTGGGTTGGCTTCTGTTGGTTACTACTTAACGTTTCTTTGGGAAATTTACTTTCTGGTTCTTAATATTTTTTCTTCTGTAAAACAAAGGATTTAAACTGGATTGTATTTAAGATACCCCTCAACTCTAAACTCTATGATCAGACCAGCTACTGATAAATGATGTGACTTAGAAAAATTGACTTGATAGCTTCAGTGTTTTTAATTGATGCCTTTTGGTTTACATGCCATTCATTTCTGGGTGTATCTCTTCCTGTTTGTCTCCCTATTGAGTTATGCTTTGTAAGAAAAAAGTTTAAAAAATAAAGATGGGGGGGATCTTTTAGCAAAACCAACCAATACATCAACCTCATCTGAGAACATAATGTAATATTTCATATCAATAGTGCTTCACTTCTGCAATAAAGAGAGAAGTAAGCATTTTCTTAACTCTGGGTCTTAGATGGTTTATTATAATGCAGGCTTATTTTCTTTATACCATGCTTAGCTCACCTACCATGACTTGTTATTCAATAGAACTATGAAGTTTAGCTCTTAAAGTACTTTGTCTTTTATGAGCTGTTTTTTTTAAGCCCCATCCTATAACTTAAATTGCAATGACTATATAGATAATGAGGTGTTTTCATTGGCTTTAAAAAATAATCATTTAAATGCAACATTTAATCATCTAAGTGTCTCAGTTGAGTGATTTCAGTCCCTCTCTCCTCCCTGCTGCATCATAGATATCTGTAGTTAATTGTAAACTGATGAGACTTAAGATTTTTGGATTTTTGTGTCAGAGTCTCCAGGCACTGGTTTTAGTTATACTTAAGATAGCTGTCATCTCTGGATTCTTTTGTTTTACTTCCTCATATTCTTTTTCTATAAATCCTGTCCTTAATTCATTGAAACTGTTTAAAAGCTATTTGTTTTCTTACATGCTATGACCATCAGTTTGAAGTAACTGCTTTTGGATGTATTGCTTTCTGCCACTCTAAGCTGATGAAAATTTAAGTTTTTATACTTTTATGATGGCTCAAAAAAAGTAGTATCCAAAACTTATTTGGTAGAACAGTTACTGGTGAGTGGAAGCCAGTTATGTCACTAATATACTCCTTTGCTTTGATGGACTCTCATCCCCCGCATTAAACACTTGGGACTACATTAAGCTCTAGAGCTCTTGAGAGAAGCCGCCTTTCTTTGTATTCTCAGCACTTAGCACAATGCCTGGTACACAGTAGGCACTTAATAAATGCTTACTTAATGACTGCCTACTTGGATAGATATGACAGTCTAAATCCATTGAACACATATTGATCAAATTTCTCATCATGAGTTTGTCTTATTTTACTGCTAATTTCTAAGGTGATTAAAATCGATCAGTAGCTGCTTTTCCCTGTTTGCTTTTATTCTGTTGCATTTACCATCACTAGGTTTCCCCAGGTTTCATGATGTTCCAAGTACTCAGGAGCAAGCAGTGTAGGCTAGGGGTCATCCATTTAAAACGCCTCCATCATAAGGCTGTGCTGGCAGTCAGGCGAGAAGATGTAAATGCGTGGGAAAGGAGGGCACCTCTGGCCCCGAAGCACGTCAAAGGGATTACCAATTTGGGATATAAGGTGCTTGTTCAACCTTCCAATCGGAGAGCCATTCACGATAAGGTAAGTGTTAGGATAACTGTAATAATACTGATAACTAACAATTGTTTGGTGCTTTTGGTTTTGTGATATGCTTTCTATAAATTATCTCATTGAATCTTCATGCCTCCTTATCAGGAACATACTGCAAGTATTATTATCTTCATTTTTAGAGATAAATCAAGGCTCAGAGTGTCTAAGTGACTTGGCTATAGCCACACATTTAGTGAGTGTCAGAAGCAGGACTCGAACCCTGTTGTCTCCCTGAGCACACTGTTTAATTTTAGTTACTTTCTATATGATGTGCACTGTGCTAGGGACTAGTGAGTTCCATATGGAGAAAAATGAAAGTCTCTGCCCTCAAGGAGATTAAATAAATGATCATCTTTTGAAAAAGTGCAGGTGAAAGAGCTGAAGGAATCTGAGTGAAACCAAGATTTTTTTAAGAATACTTTTCCCCCCTACCATCTGGAATTATTTCTTTGCTCTAATTAATAATAATAAGACCTAGCATTTATATAGCATGTTAAAGTTTAGAGATTTAAAATTGTATATAATTCTATTTAATTTTAATATATAATTATATATTATATTTTATTCTATGTAATTCTACTTAATTGTATATAATTCTATTTAAAATGATATATAATTCTGGCTAGAGTCCATGATTTAATGGGAATTTGTCAGAATACTGTTCTTTTTATCCTATCCAATCTTACTTTTAGCACAGTAGGAAGGTGCTATGGGCTGTTGGGTAAAGGCGACACAGATACTTTCAACATGCCCTTTTAAAAGTGCTTTTTGAATACTGGAGATGGTTCTATTTTGAACCATCTACACTTTCTTGCCTGGTTCCCTTGGTGGTACATGGTGTATATTCCCAAAATTGCTGAAGTCTACGGCCTAGGTAGAATAAAGCCAGCAAGCTTGAATGGAGATCTAACACATGGCCTTGGCCTCTTTAGGACTTTGTTCTAACCACAGATGATCAAATAATAGGATCTCCTGTGATTTCCTTGATGTGAGGCGCTCCTGATTAGGAAATCTCTCCGTCAACCTATTGGCACCTTTTCTGAAACTTGTTGAGAGTTGTTCAGAGCGTGACTTGTCCATAATCACGTAGTCAGTATGTACCAGAACTTGATGCCTCAAGGTATCAGAGACTCGAACCCCAAGTCTTTCTGGCTTTGAGGCCTGCTCTCTATCCACTTCACATGCTGTGTTGCCTCTTAGATAAGTAACATGTTGAGATGAAGCATAAAAAGAAACACAATATGTGAAAATGTGACCTTAGAAAATAGAGAATAAAGAAGTGATAACCACATGGCACAAAAGCAGTCTTCTATTTAGAAAAAAGGTTATAGAAAATGATATTCACTGCTTATAGAACAGCATGATATTCTTGTACCTGGAATACTTAGAGCAATACTTAGAGAATACAAAGAGCAGTTTTGTTCTTTGCATCTCAGGAGAGATATAACAGAATGAGCGAAGGGCCAGAAAAAGACACCTAGAAGACTGGAGGGCTTCCTTGACCTGGGATCTGTGAGCTTGTTTTTGAAACATAGATATAGATAGATAGATAGATAGATAGATAGATAGATAGATAGATAGATAGATAGATACCTATATTTTAATATAATCGACTTCCTTAGAACTCCTATTTATTTTATTCATTTAAAAGCATAATTCTGAACAGAAGTTCATAGGTTTAGCCAGACTGCCAAAAGTGTCCGTGACACAAAAAATGTTTAAAACTTCCTGGATTAGAGGGATGAAAGTGGAGGTGGGAGATGCTATATGACAACTGACTGAAAAGATGAGGATTCTTCATCTTGGATTAGCAAAGGTCAAGCAGTCATTAAAATTTATAAAACAATCAGCACTGATAACTTTAAATCAACCAACACGTGTTTAGTATGTATTTAGGCACTGTTCTAGGTGGCTGGGATACAAAGTCAGAAACAAGAGAGTCTATGTCAAATACAGCTTGCCTTCTACTTTGAGAGTCTATGTATTCAGAAAAGTTAATGCCTAGTAATTTCAGGATAAAGAGAATATTTTAAAAATGGGGATCAGAAAAGGCATCCCATAGGAGATGCACCTGAGGTGAAACTTGAAGGAAGATAAGAGTTCCAAGAGATGGAGAGGAGACTTAGATACATCCTCTCTTGAAATACTAAGCTAAGGGCCACTCTTTGAAATATGAGTGAGATAAGTTTAGGACATATGAAAGGAAATGGATGATAAATTTATGCAACTCATTCTAAGAGGCAGCACTTACAAGAAATAGTTTGAAAAGGAGTTTGGAAATAGCTTTGAATGCAAGTCATAAGTCACTATTGAGAGAAATGGAGATGGTCCTGATCTTTAATATTGATGGGATGAACTATTAGTATGGCAAATCCTATCTTTCTGTTTTGTAATGTTAGGATTCACTGTGTCATTTCTTTAAGTGGTGAACTCCATTAATGAATTTATAATTTGACTTCTTCAACAATTTAGTTTACTTGCAACTTTTTAAGAACATATTTTTTTAGCTAGAAAAAAACAAAGTAACTAACTTTTGCAAATTAGAGTTGAAAAAATATTTTTGTACATTATATACATAAATACATGATATATATATATACAGATGTATCTATATCTATGTTTGTGTATACACGGATATATCTTTTTAATTATTTGCCCTTGAACTTATAGATCTTGAACATAAAGGTGTCTGAAGATTTGTACTTAATAGCAATATTGAAGTTACCATTACCAGTCTATATTGAATGCTCATATACAATGTTTGAGCAATAAAATTTAAAGAAGCATGAGACACAGTCATGAGTCTCAAGTAGCTGACGATAATGAAGTAAATAATGATACCAGGAAGCATTGTTCATTCCTTTGGGATGTCTCTTGTGTTTATAGCCTTCTTTCCATTTCCATGGTTAATATCCTAGCTCTCTCAGTTGCAATGGCTTACTAACCTATCTCGTTGTCCAAAGTTTTTTGCCTCTCCATGATGTTCTCAGATTGTTCTAATTAAATCACTGTTCTCACTGAACAGGGAGGTGGAAGTAAAAGCTTTAATAAATCACCATTAGTTGCTTGGTGAGGTAGAAGAAATCATAACATTCAAGGCTCTCTACAATTTGGCTCCAACTCACTTTTCCAATCTTAGTTCCTTCACATTCCAGCAAACTGAGCTACTTGCCTTCACCAAATATACTCTGTATTTGACCTTTGTTTATACTGTTCCCTGCTGCTTGGACTACCCTGCTCAGCCATCTTTCTTTCAAAGGCTTAATTGTTCTTTGTGTTTTAGCTCAAATGTCACCTCCTCCATAAACCCATTTCTTATAATCCTAACCACAATGACTCTATTTTCTGGATTCCCATAATAAAAATGGATCCACATTTCAGAGTAAAAACATGCTACTCTTGGGAAGGACACATTTGTTGGAAGTTAAAAAACACAAACCTTGCAGCTTCCAGTGAAAGCTATGGACTCTCTAGCACACATAGAGGAAGACAATTTGGTCTAAAAGGAAGCTGTGCAAATGCTCAAATCTGTTGATGACAAGAATTAAGATCTTTGCTCAGAATAAAAAAGGGGAAATGTTTCTCTTAAAAAAAAGTGAAGTATCATCCTTATGGCATGATGAATATGGTGACTCATATTCTAGCATTTCTTCACATGACCTGTCATTTTCAATCTAGTATATTATAAATTCCTTAAAAGGAAGACCATGTCAGATTCATCTCTGAAGATGGGGCCAAGTGTAGTAAAAGAGTGCTGGACTAGGTGGTTTTACTACTAATTCACTGTGCAATCTTAGCAGATTTCTTTCCCTCACTGGGCCTCAGTTTCTTCATCTGTAAAATGAAAAAGTTTGATTCTACGATATCTAAATTCCTTTTGAGTTCTATATGACTTTATGATTTATACCCTACAGATTGCTTAAGCACAACTTCTTGCACCTAGTAGATCCATAGGAAATATTTTAAGCAGTGAATCAGCTCCCAATTATCCATAATAATAAACCATAAGCAAATCACTTAAAACCTCCCTAGGCCTCAGATCTTTCATTTTTAAAATGAGGAGGGTTGGGCTAGGTGGTCATTGAGGCCCTTTCCCATTCTAAAGTTTATAATTCTATAAGCACAAAATGCATGTTGCAAACAGTAAACTTTCTTTCCCTAGAAAGAAATCATATATAATGTAATGGCTAACATTTAGATCTCTTTAAGGTTCGCAAGTAGCATCTCGTTTGATTCTCGGAACAATCCTGAAAGCTAAGTGCTATTATTATCCCCACTTTGCAGACGAGGAAACTGAGGAAGACAGCAATTAAATGACTTCCCCAGGGTCACACAGCTACTACGTATCTGGGGTCCCATTAGAACTAAGGTCTTCCTGACTCCAGGTCCAGCACTCTGTCAGCTAGTGACCTCTAGCTTCAAGCCATGAGACATTGACCAGTACAGAGTTATTTCTTTGTATTAAATAAAACTGCAAATATGTGTTTTGTGACATTTCATTAATGTATCTAAATGTCACGATAATATTGTTTCACAGAAGAGAGAGACTCAGTGTCCATGTTTTTATGGACTAAAAGTTGCAATCACAGAAAGCCCTTCTTAAATTGCACAGTTAATCAATTTGCTAATTGTTCATAACAACAACAGTGAACAATACTATTTGCACATCGGAAGGTTACATAAAGCTTTTTCCTCGCTACCACTTTGTGAGACAGGTAGAATAAGCAGTACATTAGGCAGCTAAGCACACTGAGGCACAAAAGAAGTGATTTGTCCAAGGTCACACATCTATTAAGTGTCAGAGTGAGAATTTGACCTCCAGGAGAATCTGACTCTAAATTAGGTACTTTAAAAATTACATCAATTTGCCTTTCACCACATCAGGCTGCCTCTCAGCTGGAACACCTTATAGATATAACATTATTTCTTGCTTTACATAATAACCTAAGAAATAGTCATTCTCCTGCTTGTTTTAATCCACTTAAACCCAGAAACCTTAACTTAACATTTCTACTACTTCAGTGATAACGCTTTTGATTTTCACCCTGATTAAGGGAAAAAATTGCATTGTCTTCACAGGAATATGTCAAAGCTGGTGGCATTCTTCAGGAAGATATTTCTGAGGCTTGCCTCATTGTGGGAGTTAAGAGGCCTCCAGAAGAAAAATTAATGCCCAAGAAGACTTATGCATTCTTCTCTCATACAATAAAAGCTCAGGAAGCAAACATGAGCTTGTTGGATGAGATTCTAAGACAGGTAACCCAAACATTTATTTTTTAAATAACCCAAGCATTTATTTTTTAAATAAATGGTATTGAATATATTAATATATTAAATAAATGATTTTGATATCTTTTTATATTACCTAAATACATTGTATTGTCATCTTTTTACATTGCCTAAATAAATTTTAGGGCAGCTAGGGGGCACAGTGGATAGAGTGCCAGGCCTGGACTGAGGAAGACTTCCTGAGTTCAAATGTGGCCTCAAGACACTTCCTAGCTGTATGACCCTGAGCAAGCCACTTAATCCTGTTTGCCTCAGTTTCCTCTTCTATAAAATGAGCTGGCGAAGGAAATGGCAAACCACTCCAGTGTCTTTGCCAAGAAAACCCCAGGTGAGGTCATAAAGAGTTGGACACCACTGAAAATGACTGAACAACAACAAAAAATACATTTCATGGCCATCTTTATTACATTGTTTAAATTTCTCCCAATATCTCTCCCCTCCCATCCCAGAAATTCATCCCATATAACAAATGATATGTTTTAAGGGAAAAAAAGAAAAAGAAGAAGAAAAGACAAATATCAGTAAAAACCAATCAAAACACTGACAAAAGTTTGACAATATATGTGATGTTCCACACCTGAGGATCTTCAGCTACTGTGAAAAAGGAGGAGATGTCTTCTTATCTCCCTTCTTTGGGGTCATGCTTGTTCTTTGCTATTTTCAAGCATTCACTTTGGATTTAAGATAAAGTAAATCTTAACATAACATGAATCTACAGATTTGAGTTCCTCAGTATACCTAGGAAATTTGTCTTTTTTATTAGTTTATAAGAAAAAGATAAATCCATCCCTAATATCCTGGAATATAGTTCCTTTCTCATGGAGTGAGAGTTAATCACACTGTTAAAAGCACAAGAATGATTATTGCTTTCTTGTCTTTGTAGTGATTGTAGAAAGAAGGATAATTACCTTTACGGCCAACTTCTATAGTCTACTAATCAAATGCTAGTAATAAAATCTTAGAATTCTAGAGCTTTAGTATATCTTAGAACCCAATCTTTCTTCTTTTCTAGATGAAGAAATAGATCCAGAGAGAAAAAAATGACCTTTCCTCTCTACCACATTGTATTTTATATATATAACTTATGGGGAAAAGTACAGATTTTCTGCCTCACATTCTTTGCTTAGCAGAGTGGTAGAAAATTTTTAAAGCCATTTAAAGTGCGACTTTACTAGTATCTGAAAATAAATTAGAGTTAGGGATGCACAGCAATTAGTAAAATCAACAAGGGAAATAAATGTGATATCTACACACGAAAAATAGGGAGAACTTACAATAAAACTGTATTAATTAGAATTTTAGTCATTGGGAATTCAAAGATTAAGTCATTTTTCAGTTGTGTCTGACTCTCCGTGACCCCATTTGGGGTTTTCTTGGCAAAGATAGTGGAGTGGTTTGCTCTTTCCTTCTCCAGCTCATTTTACGCAAGATGAAACCAAAGCAAACAGGGATAAATGACTTGCCAAGGGTCACAAGGCTAGTAAGCATGTGGGGTTGGATTTAAACTCACAGAGATGAGTCATCCTGATTCCAGGCCTGGCACACTATCGACTGTACCACTTAGCTGCCCTAAGGAATTCAAACCACATTCAAATGAACAAATATATATTTACTGCCCATTATACACAAGGTCAAGCCACTTAACACTATTTGCCTCAGTTTCCTATCCATTAAATGAGCTGGAGAAGGAAATAGCAAAGCACTGCAGTATCTTTGCCAAGAAAACCCCAAATGGGATCATGAAGAGACCCACAGGGCTGAAGCAACAGCAACAAAATACACATGGCACTGTTCTAGGTACTAGGATACAAAAGCAAACGTGTCAATGCCCTCAAGGCACTTGGTAAGGTACCATAGTATATTTTATCTAAAGAGAGTAATTCAGCCAGACCTTCACTGAAATTCACCTTTCTAGCATTTTTGGAGGTTGCTTTGGCAAATTAAGCTGATTGTCAGTCAACAAATATTTCCAAAGTGTCTACTGTGCTCTAGGTACTGTCAAGGGCACTTGGGACATAAAGAAAGGTAAAAGACAGTTCATATCTAATAATAATGGTATAAACAAAATTATCAGGGGAAGCTAGGTGCAGTGGATAGAGTGATGGGCTTGGAGTCAGGAAGACCTGAATTCAAATCTTGCCTCAGATACTTTCTGGCTGTGTGACCCTTGATAAATTATTTAACCTCAGTTTCCTTATCTGTAAAATGGGGGAATATAGACATACCTCAGCATTATTGCAGGTTTGGTCCCAGACTGCAAATATCACAATAAAGCAAGTCATGAGAATTTTTTTGGTTTCCCAGTGCGTATAAAAGTTATGTTTACACTATACTGCAGTCTATTGAGTGTGCAACAGCATTGTGTCTAAAAACAAATGTACATACCTTAATTAAAAGTATCTTATTGCTAAAAATGTTAGCCATCATGAACTTTTGTGAATCATAATGTTTTTGCTGGTGGAGGGTCTTGCTTTAGGAGTTGATGGCTGCTGACTGATCAGGGTGGTAGATACTGAAGGTTAGGGTAGCTGTGGCAGTTTCTTAAAATAAGACCACAGTGAAGTTTGCCACATCAATTGACCCTTCCTTTCTCTTGAACACTTAGGGGCCATTGTAGAGTTATTAACTGGCCTAATTTCAATATTGTTGTGTCTCAGGGTATAGGGAGACTGGAGGAAAGGGAGAGACACAGGGAATAGTTGGTCAACGGAGCAGTCAGAACATGCAAATATTTATTGATTAAGTTCACTGTCTTTGGGCATGATTCAAGGCACCCCAAAAACAATTATAATAGTAACATCAAAGATCACTGATCACAGATCACCATAACAGATATAATAATAATAATTAAAATAATTAAAAAGTATGAAAAATTCATGAGCGTTATAACCATGACACAGAGATTACAATGTGCGCATATGCTCTTGGAAAAATGGTGCCAGCAGACTTTCTAGATGCAAGATGGCCACAAACCTTCAATTAAAAAAAAAGGCAATATCTGCAAAGCACAATAAAGTAAAGTGCAATAAAATGAGGTATGGCTGTAGTAGCACCTACCTCCCAGGATTGTTATGAGGATCAAACGAGCTTTTGTAAAGCCCTTAGTCCACTGCCTGGCCCAGAGTAAGCACTACATAAATGTTAGTTATTATTTTTTATTATTATCTTCTGTGGGAATAAAGTCTTTTAAAGTACTTGAAATCCACCCATTTTTAAACAATGTATGCTTATTATTACAGGCATTAAAGCCAATCGGGCCTTCCCTCTGCTTAGCAACATTTTATTATTAGTGAATTTGAGTTGCTATATTCCATCAAAGTAATAAAACTGCATTGTTCCAAAGAGTATTTTGTACATCAGATGTTTTCACTCATTTAGAAAACTTCTGAGCTAGAGATAGTGATGTTTTCCTAAAAAGGTAAAGGAGTAAAGGATAAGAAAGAGAGCTTAGGGAGAGAAAGCAATCCATCATACTCCATGCTGTAGTTAGTAAAATTATATGCCATATGACATTATGAGACTAATGACTAAATCACATTATCTGGTGAGACTTTGTTTAAGGCATTTTTACTAGACTTTCCTTATTTTAAGATAAGCCATGTTATTTTGGTTAATGAACTTAGGAAGAACATTCCCTTTCTGATTGACTTGATTATTGGAATGCCTACTGCTGAGGTGTCACTTTTAGATTCACTCTCTCTTCTTGCGCCATGTGGGTGCCGTTTATCACGTTCAGGCTCACTCATGGTCTCTTACTGTGGTTGTTTTGTGACCTAGCTCTTTCTAAAAACCTTTCTTGAAGCCATTTTGACTAAGAAGTTTATGTTAATAGGTCCAGAAATATTTTGTGAGGAAAAAAGAAGTCAACTGTTGAATTGCCCATTTGTATGGCTTGGCCAGAGGATCTGACTGGATATATATTTTTTTAAATTTAGGAAATACGGCTTATTGATTACGAGAAAATGGTTGATCATAAAGGAACACGTGTGGTGGCCTTTGGACAATGGGCAGGGGTGGCAGGTATGTATACCAGGGTTTGCAGATGCGTTTTGAAACCTCCTGCATTGATCAACGTGAATGTGTGTGTCAACAATTCAACAAGCAGTTGTTGTGTGCTAAGTATAATGCTAAGCCCTGGCATACAAAGAAAGACAAAAACAGTTCCTGCCTCTAAGGAACTTATAGTCCAATGAGGGAGACAACATGCAAACAACATGTACAAATCTATATAAAATATAACAAATGAATTTCGATAATCATATATAAAATATAAAATCTATATAAAGATAGAGATCTATAGCAATCTATAGATTAGATAGAAATTTATATCTGTGTCTTATACATCACCTATCATATGTTCAGTCTAAATTGGAAACAACCCTGGATAGAGGGCATTAGCATTAAGGGTAATGAGGAAAGGCCTTTTGCAAAAGGTGAGATTTTAGCTGAGGCTTAAAGGAATCCAGGTAAGTCAGAAGGCAGAGATGAGGAAGGAGAAAAATTCAAGCATAGGGCTAGTTAGAGAAAACACAGAGCCTGGAGATGAAGTGTCTTGTGGTAGGAACAGCAAAGAGACTAGTGTCATGGGATCTTAGAGAAAGTAGAGGACAATCAAGTGTAAGAAAACTGGAAATGTAAGGAGAGGCCAGGTTATCGAATGCCAGAGGAGTTTATTTCTGATCCTTGAGGTTTAAGAGACCATTCAAGTTTATTGAATGGGGGATGATGGCTGGGGATGAGGAAGGTGACACGGTCAGACCTGTACTTCACAAAGATCATTTTGATAGCTGAGTAGAGGATGGACTGGAGTAGGGAGAGACTTAAGGCACAGGGACCAACCAGCCAGGTATTACAATAGTCTAAGTATGACAGGGGTGTGTGTGTGTGTGTGTGTGTGTGTAATATTCATATCCCAAAACTGTCCCAAAATTTGCCTAGGGGTGTGTTGCTGCTTGCAGTGTTGAAAGTGGTGGGGAAAAGGTTTTTATATAAAAGCCTATGTTTCAACATAAACATGAAAGAAGAAAGAACAGCAGTGCCATTTCATAGCTGTGGGTGAGCTCAGATAAGATACTTCAGCTTGCTCATTTCTAATGCAAACTCTAAGAAGAATTCTTGTTTTGAATATGTATGGGAACAGCATGCTAAGGAAGGGAAGAAAGGGGAAAAAGAAGGGGCACATAATTTGTGGGAAGGGACAATCATAAGAACGGGCCAAAGAAAGGAGAAGCCTCTTTAATTAAGAACATGGGAGTTAGATTTTTACGCCATTTGGACTTGACTTATTGGTTGGGAAACACCAATGTGTTCAGTGGTAGTCTTATACTATTATTATTACTCAAAGTTTGGTAGTAGGAGAGTCTTGTTTCTTCAAATTAGTAATGCTTTCATGAAGGCCATGTCAATTGCATTTTGTAGGCTTATATATACTACATATACATATATATTTATATATAGTTCACATATATATTTGTGTATATATATACACACATGTATATATACTTTATATATGTATGTATATACATACATATGTGTGTATACATATACACGCATATATGTGTGTGTATATATATATATTATATATATATGTATGTATATACTTAACTCATTTTTTTCCTTGACCATACAGCCTTCTCTTTCCACAGAAGTTCTTCCTTTTATGAATGGCCTCACACTTAATAAACTCTATTCACCTTTCTAAGCACGTAGGGCAACTCCTATTATGACCACAAACAACCATCAAAATTATTTTGTTGTACTGAAATTTCATCAAATAAATGAATGAATGAATAAATGCTGAGTTTGTAGTGGATCCAGTATTTTTCTTAATTGTGAATTTTCAGTGAAAGTGCAATTCAATTCAACAGACATTTGTTAAACACTTACTTTGTATAAGACAGTATGCTAGAAGCTGGGAGGCGGGGAAACTACATTGTTTCAAAAAATTAATCTTCTCATCTTTTTTATTGATCTGATTCTGAAACAGGGATGATCAACATTTTACATGGAATGGGCTTAAGGTTCCTTGCCCTGGGGCATCACACACCTTTTATGGTGAGTTTTTTTATCCTTCAAGATCCCTTTTCACACTTTGTAAAAATAAAATGTTTCAGTGTATAGATTTATGTGAATTGTATGTATTTGTTTTTAGCATATCGGTATGGCCCATAACTACAGGAACAGCAGTCAGGCTGTGCAAGCTGTACGTGATGCTGGCTATGAAATCTCTCTGGGACTGATGCCTAAGTCTATAGGACCTTTAACGTTTGTGTTCACTGGCACTGGTAATGTGTCTAAGGTAAATACGAAGACTCTTTGCAGTGGAATGTGGTCGGAATGTGTCTTAGTTGTCCTTAGCTAGTTTCTCACCTTAGGCAGCTAGGTGGTGAAGTGGATAGAGCTCCAGGCCTAGAATCAGGAAGACCTGAGCTCATACCTAAACTCAAACACTTATTATTGGGATGATCCTGGGCAAGCCACTTACCTTCCTCAGTTTCCTCACCTGTAAAATGGGGGTGATAATAGCACCACCTATGTCCCAGAATTGTTGTGAGGATCAAATAATATCATAATTGTCAAGCACAGAACCTGACACATAGTAAGTGCTATATAAATTTTATTAGTATTATTAGCTTAGACAGATTCTGATGTTACAGGGAAACCAGAGTGTTCTACTTTCTCATTTTCCCATGGTCCTAGCTTGCTCTAGAAATATTTTATGATTTTGAAGATTTATGATTCATTCAACATTTTCCCTAGCTTTCACATCTTTTTGGTTTTGTTACAAGATTCCTTTATTTTATACATCATTAGTACGGTATGACAGCCATTCTAGTTTGTATTAGCATACCGAAGGCTATAAGCTGGGAATACAGTCAAGAAGGGTGATTCTTGTGATATTTAAGTATATATTTCTTCTCTGGGAAATGGAGTTAATAAGTTTTCTCCTTCCTGAATGTTTTAAAAGAAAATGTGTATGGAAGGGATTTGAAATTTCCCAGGAAGAGACTAATCTATAGTTTTGCTACTTACAAGTAGTACTTTCCTCAAACAAACTTACAATAGAGGTTTTTTTTTTATTATGACATCTCTGTTTCTCAATGAGGTAACCATGTAAGCCTCGTCATTTCTACTTGAAAGAAAAAGACACTGAAGAAGAATTAATAGAAGCTGTTTACTGTATTCAATCACCTGAGAATCTTTGTGGCTATCATAAAATACTTGAGGCATGTTTGAAATCTGGCTTGCATTTTTTAACAAATAAGATATTATTAATAACATCAATAGCTAGCGTTTATATAGTGCTATAAAGTTTGCAAAGGCTCATTTGGTCCTCATGACAACTTCAGGATATATTTTCTATTACTCCTGTTTTACAGATGAGGAAACTGGAGCAGAGATTAACTGAAGTTACCTTGACTTTCCCAAGGTTACCCAGCTAGTTAGTATCTGAGGGCAGGATTTGAACTCAGGTTTTTGTGTCTCCAAATCCAGTGCTCTTATCCATTATACCACCTAGCTGCCATGTTGTAGTTTAAGTTCCAGAGATGGAAAAGAAAGAATGCCATATTCATGGAAGATGAACTTGTACTTATCCTTGTATGTGTTTTTATGGAACCTTGGATTTTCATTGTTAGTTTCGCTTGTCTAGTTGATGCTCATGTTGTCACTAACAGGGTGCCCAAGAGATCTTCAATGAACTCCCTTGTGAGTTTGTGGAGCCACATGAGTTAAGAGAAGTTTCCCAAAGTGGAGGTAATAAAGGATTACTACTACTACTACTACTACTACTACTACTACTACTACTACTACTACTACTGCTACTACTACTACTGCTACTACTACTACTGCTGCTACTGCTGCTACTGCTGCTATTGCCACTACTGCCATTACTGCTACTTTTTCTTCTTCTTCTTCTTCTTCTTCTTCTTCTTCTTCTTCTTCTTCTTCTTCTTCTTCTTCTTCTTCTTCTTCTTCTCCTTCTCCTTCTCCTCCTTCTCTTTCTTCTTTTCAGCATATCAACATGTGATTTGTGACTTTGAGTTTTAGAGAGTTGCCTAGGGCATGGAGAGCCTGTGACTTGCACAGGCATTTAGACAGCTTGTGTCGGAGATGGAATTTGAACCCAGGTATTCCTGACTACAAAGCTTTCTATGCATTACATTGGTGGTTCCCAGTCTTTTTTAGGTCCCATGTCACTTGACTCCTATAAATTTCCTTGTATTCCATATTCAATATGAAAGGAAAGAAATTCTAGAGTTCATTATACATTTAATAAATAGAATAAAAGATTAATTTTTCATAAGGAAAACATTCAATATACTTTTTGTACCCCAAAATTGTTCTCTTGCCTATCCACAATTTTTTTTAAAAAGCTATTACTGTAGGAATATTTTAATAGGATAATATAATTATTTACCAAATATTCCTCATACACCTTTGACAGATTTTCTGTACTCTATATTTGGCAACTCTGCACTACACCATATAAATATACTTTGTGTATATTTATTATGTTTTTTTTAAATCATGTATATCATGGCATTTTCTTATTATAGGTCATAGGCCTGCTGTTGTTATGTCTTTTACCTTTTCCCCTCTTCTCTGCTAGATCTCAGGAAAGTGTATGGGACAGTGTTAAGTCGACATCATCACCTTGTCAGGAAAAGAGATGGGGTGTATGACCCTGTAGAATATGACAGACATCCTCACCTCTACACATCTCGCTTTAACACTGAAGTGAGTGTTCTAATATGTTCTTTCTTGGCTCTGCAGACGGTTTGTTTTTACTATGAGGTAGGTAGTTTTAGACAAGAACAGTTAGGAGTACATCAATTCATTTTCAGTCCCCATTATCAATTAATTAAAATGTGATAACTCAAGTCCTTTAGAAGTAGCTAGTTGGCATTAGGAATTCTGAAATTTTCCTTGGCATAGTTTCTCGGGCTTCTGTCTGCAGGGCTCTGTCAGCATGACTTTATTTGATTCTTTTTACCTCAGGATTGCACCATCTTACTGTGGACCATAGCCTTCTGTGGTCAGCTCAGGCCCGTTGACTTTAAACATGGTATTCATAATATGGCCATAGTCATGGAAATCCACGGATCAAATGATCCTTCTGCAGAAAGTCTGTTTGGTAGTTACACTCTGTATTCCTAATCTCACTGAGCCATCGTGCTAATTCATGCCATTGATTATGTGGGTGCACTGAGTTAAAAATAACGTGTGAGGGCCAGTGCAAACCCATCCCCAGGAAAGGGAATTTTACAAAATTCCCCAATTCAAAATGCATGACAGCAGGAAACCAGCAGCATCTTCGTGCAAGAAGGCTTGTTTCTTCATTTGTGGCCGAAAGCCCTTTCTTGCCGTGTGAGCAAGTTTTAGCAGTGATGTGTTTATAGAAGGAAGAACAACTCTTATTCAGTTGAGGGGTCTTACAAACAGCAGCTCATTTTCTAGATTCCAGTGTTGAGCTGTGCTTGCCACGTGACAGTCTTCAGTATCATCCAAGTCATGTAGGATGTGACGCCTAATGCAACTTCTAAATGAAAGGATGTGAAACTGGAAAATTCTTAGGTCTAACTCTTAGTTCTCTTTAATGATGGCTGAGGGCATTTGGAACTTTCTGATTGTAAATACTATGTATGCACCTTTCTCAGTGGAGCTCACAGTTCTTACAGCTGTTATCTGATTTAATCTTCACAGCATCCCTGTGAGGAATGGGGGACATATTATCCCCATCTTGCAGGTAAGGAAAATGGAGCCCAGAAAAGTCGAGGAAGCCCGATTAAGGCTACATAGTTGGTGGCATGGGAGGCAGAAATACAATACCAGGCTCTTGATTTAAAGGCTTGTTCTTTCCCTACTAAATAATGCTATTGCAGAATGAAAACGAAAAAGGACCCCAAAACTTTATTTCATGGGGAGCTCCTATTGCCACATGGAATATGGTAGAACTCACCCAGTATATTGTCTTTTGCTAAGAAGGAATGATCTCTCAAAACTAAAGAGGCATTAAGAAATAATGTTGAGTTATAATGACCTAGTTTGACCCTGGAGAAGAGTTGAGAGAGAACATATATTTCTCTCCTTTCTTTGAAGAGATGGGGAATTATGGGTGTAGAATATTGCATGTACTGTCAGACCATTGATGTTAATTGCTTTTGTTAAACCGCTCTTTTCTTTCTTTTTAAAATTTTTGCTACAAGAGATGACCCTTAAGTATGGGAGGGGCAAGAGATATATTTGCGGATGAAGGTGATATGAAAACAGAAGACATCAATGAACATAATTTTTAAAAGTAATTTTAAAAAGCTAGTTACTGGATTTGCCATTGATAGTTTGCATCTAGCATACTTCTGTGAGTATGAGTTACCCTCCACATCTCATTGGGTTTCTTGGAATTTGTTTCATAGATTGCCCCATATACTACTTGTTTAATTAATGGAATCTACTGGGAGCAAGACACTCCTCGGCTATTGAGTCGGCAAGATGCTCAGAGGCTCCTCGCTCCAATCAAATCCTCAGTTGTTACTGTTGAGGGTTGCCCTTCCTTGCCCCACAAGTAAGTATCTATTGTTTTGTTTTAATTATTGTTGTTTTTTCTTAATAAATAAAATTTACAAACTGTTTTAAAAATATTTGTTTTATTTTTAATTTAATTTAATTTAATTTTTAATCCCTCCTTTTCCTCTCTTCCCCAGAAAGTGTAAAGATCTTTTATACTGCAGGGCCAACGATTTTTTCATATTAGCTCCCATGGTTTGCTACTTGGTAGTAGATAGGGCCTCGGATCATCTAGTCCCTCAATTTGCAGGTAAAGACACTGAAGCCCATGGAATTAAAAAAAATGATGCCTATGGCGATGAAAGTAGCAGAACTTTCATTAGGCTCATCTTCTGTCTTCAAATCTAAATAGTGCTACTGTGAATTCTAGGGCTGAATTATTTTACTGAATATTTATTGAGTATTCACAGTGTTCAAGACACTAGTTCAGGTGTTGTAATAATAATAGCTACTAGCTATTCTAGCAGCATTCTGGATATTTTAATGGATTAAAAGGTACAAGATAGGATCTCTGTCCTCAAGTAGCTTAAAGTCTATTTGGGGAGGTGAAACATGGACACAAAAATAGAAAACTAAGGCAATGTGATGGTCAACATTAAATGCTAAGTGAGTTGTACAGTCAATATGTGTGCAATAAAAGTTCAAAAGAAGGGAAGAGCCTTGTGGACTGGACTGGTCAGGGAAGACTTCATGGATTAAGTAGAAAATGATTTGCATCTTATTGAATTGGTAGAATTCAGTCAGGTGGAGGTAAAGGTGAAGGACACTCCTGGAGAGAGGAGACATTGTGAGCAAAGATGTGGAAGTATGAAAAACACGATGTGTTCTGAGAACACTAGATAGACCCATCTGATTGATGGAGAGGGATGGCACAAGGGAATTGTGGGACGCAAAACCTGGAGGGGTAAGTGGCAACCAGACTGTTAGAGGTCATTCCTTACTAGGCCAAAGGGAGGAAATCATCCTCATTAGGAGTAGGACACGAAGAAAGGAGATGATAAGATGAGAGTAAGGTTTTAACAAGATTATTTAGGTGATGGTAAACAGGATAGCTTAAAGGGATGTCACTTGTCTTATCCCTAGCACTTAGCACAGTACCTGGCATATAGTAATTGCTTAATAAATTCCTTTATAATTGATTAATTTAGAGGGGTATAGCTAGGCACTGTTTTTTTGTTAAAGAGAATTCTGAGGAAAGGCATGATCCCCTCTGGTTTCTTTTGTTTTTAGTTGAGGAGAACAAGTCTTCCTTTGGGAAGAACCTCCTAGTAATCTTTTCCTTGTTTGTTTTTTTTTGGTTTTTGTTTTTGTTTTTGCTCTCCTCAGTGTTCAGTGGAAAGGGCTGGGAAATGCACATTAGAAGTTGTTATCTAATCCTTAGGTTTTGTTATTGTTGTTGATTTTTAGTATTGATGGCAATTTTCAGCTGGTAATGCAGTATGGCATATGGGCATCCTCTCTTTCAGACTCGTGGCCATATGTGACATCTCAGCTGACGCTGGAGGGTCTATAGAGTTCATGACGGAGTGTACGACAATAGACAGTCCCTTTTGTATGTATGATGCTGATCAGCATATTATCCATGACAGGTGAGTTTGTCAAAAAATTTAAAAGACTTTAAATTGCTGAGGGTCATGGGGGCATATGTTTATATTTCAGTTAGGTTATTAAAACACAAGGAGAAAATTGTCCAAATGCACAACATCATAGCACTTCCTAGTGTTGATGTGTGAGCCTTTGATGACAGCAGAGACATACTAAAGGCTGTGAGGGTTTAAGACATAATAATTCACATTTATGTAGTGCTTTAAGGTCTGCGAAATACTTTTTAGCCTTGTGAGTTTGATTATAAAAGTACAATTGCCTCCATTTTATAAATGAGAGGATTGAGATTCAGACAAAAAAAAATAACTTACATATATCATCACATAGCCAGTAAGTATTGGAGCTGGGATGTCAATCTAGATCTTCTTATTCCAAGTCCAGTGTCCTTACCAAACCATGCTGACTCTTCTGAAGTTCATATACATTTAAATATAAAGTTATTAAAAATGCAATCATTTCAACTTTTAAATTTGTATGCCATATTTATATGAATGGGAGATTGTTGCAGAAGAAATTAGTAGTAGATGGGGTGTCAACTATTTTTATTCTTGTATTTCACACACATGGTTTTGTGCTGGGCCAACATAATATGGTATTCGTACTAATATGAGGAATGTTACAGGGTATGTTGGTCATTTCTGCAAATATAATTAGTCATTTTGCTGCTTCTAGTGTGGAAGGCTCTGGGATACTCATGTGTTCCATTGACAATTTACCAGCCCAGCTCCCAATTGAAGCTACAGAGTGCTTTGGAGATATGCTTTTTCCGTATGTTGAAGAAATGGTAAGCAGAATGCTGGACTCAACAACTGGGATTGCATGGAAACCTGACATATTTAATGAATATACTAATCTTTTCCACCTAAGAAATCTTCTGTGGTTCCCTCATTTCTCTTTCCCAGTTTTACTTGTAAACATTTACATTATTAATCTTCTACTTTCCTTGCTTTACTATTGATATAATCTTTGTTCTCAGAGGTAATTTGTCTCTCTCATTAAGGTATATTCAATTAGGAATCTACCTTTGATCTGTGGGAGTCTCTCTATCTCTCTCTTCCCCCTCCTTCCCTCTCTCTATCTCTCCTTCTACCCCCCTCTACCCCTACCCTCACTATCTCTCCCCCACTCCCCACCTCTCCCTTTCTCTCTCTCTGACACGTTGGTCAGAGAAAATCAAATTGAATCTTTTTCCTTAGTAATTCATTAAATAACCTTAGTAAAATTATGAAGAGTATTTGACAGAGATTTTATTCCTTTGTCAGTGGTCAGTGTCTGGAATATCATTATGCTGTATATTCTTTGCTTGGCTAGAAAGGACCTCTCCAGCAGCACCCTCTCTCTCCCAATCCCATCTATTTTTGTATTACAATTTGACAATGGTAGTTAATGTTTCCTGGTAGGACTTTCTCTCTGAGAATAATAGGCCCAGATTCTTAACTTCAGAAGCTAAGGAAGCTTTTCCTTAAGTCCTGGGTATTTTTCCATTTGAGCGGTAGCTTTTGGGAGCTACCATTCTAAAATGGTGGAGTGATTAGCAATAAAGCTAAACTTGCAGGCTGTGCCCTTCCTCCTTTCTATTAAATGTCCTTTTCCTCCTTTTTTGATTAAACTCTTGACGTGCCTTGCTTGCACAAGAATGTTAAATAGTGAGCTGGGCAGTGTGTAAATGGTAAGGATATGTTCTTATGGTGGCATTGGAGGAGAGGAAGGCAAGTGACTAAGGTCTACTAGCCAGACAGGATATCATTAGAGTAATATGGTGGTCATTTGTGCCTTCCCTGCCTTGCCTCTTTCTTTACTGTTTTACTCCTAGTCTTGAGTATTGGGCAAACTATTCTGTGCCTCAAATTTTTTCATCTCCTTTCTTTCCTTGATAAAAATTTTCATTCTCGTGGTGTAGACATCTGAGTTATATTCTAGGAAGAAAGTAATTGAATATAGAAAGAGTTTCTTGTTCAGGCTTGTGGTTTTTTTTTTTTAGCATTAAGAAGGTATTAGTATAAATGTATACTAATAATAAATAAACTAATAATAAATAAATAAATAAAACTAATAAATGTATTTACATTACTATAAATGCAAGATGGACAGCATATCTTACGTTTCCCATTATTCAGGAAACTTGAATTAAAAATTAACATTCCATTGCTTCTTCCCCTGAGGCTGTTCACCATCTCCCACACTTTTATAAGCCCTCCCAGTTGGGAGGTGATGCCAAACTAGACCTTAGGGTGGGATAAGGGAGCATAGGAATGCCTTCTTTTCCTCTAGCTATACATTTGGTGCACTATTTACTTCCAGTCCCTGAGGGTAGGGTACTTTAGCTAAGATTTTGGATATAACTTGAAACTGGAATAAGTGTAGAGAGGTAGATTCTGGGAGTTGTAGTTTTGTTCTCTGGATTCCTCTTGCCAGATTTTAGGAAGTATGGAATTACTTGCCCACAATGTACTAGTCCTATGGCATTGGCCCATGTATTTCATTATTCAGTTTAAATATAACCTTATTATGAAGGCATTTTATCTTGTACTGGTGTCCTGTTTGTGTCCAGGACCTGGGAGAAGAAGTAGGGCATTGGGAAGATTTAAACTGTCCAGTTGGCTTTACACACTCTCTCTGTCTCTCTCTCTCTGTCTCTCTCTCTCTCTTTTTCTCTCTCCCCTAGAAGGAACTAATACTGGCAAGTAATGACTATTTATGAGACAAGGTGGTAGTCAGGGATAAGTCCTGTGCTATTTTTAACAAGCTCAGTATAGCTCATTTAACCAGGTTTGGGGATGTTTTTCTTGCCTGTAAACTCTGCCTAGAGTGGAAGCTGTGATATTGTCATAGCTACCAGCTGGTAGTTTAAAATTTGGAATTAATACTGAAAAAGCATTTTCTTTAGTGCAGGGCTAAATGTCCTTCGGAGTCAGAACATTCTGTGCTCTTTAGCAAATATGCTTTTCCAAATCCCTTTCTTCTTTGACAGATGTTTCTGTGCACATGCCAACACAAGGAAACCTTCTTACCAGTTTCATTTGGCCTTTCAGATATTATCAGATGCAACTCAGCCTCTTGAAAGTCAGAATTTCTCTCCTGTTGTCCGAGATGTAAGTTGTGCAAATGTCTTTTTTCCCTCCTAAATTCTTCACTCCCTATCTAAACAAATCTAAGATTTTAAAGGCCAATTATAATGAAATAATTACATATTTTTCATATTCTTTTAGGCAGTGATTGCATCCAATGGATCATTGCCTGAAAAGTATAAATATATCCAGAAACTTCGAGACAGCAGGTAAAGTACTGCCCAGAGCCTCTTCTTTTGTCAAATCTCTTATTTTAGATTTGGCAACAGTTTCTGCTTTTATGGGAGAGATCATTTGGCACCATAGAAAGAGGGCTCGATTTGGAGTCAGGAAAAACATGGGCTCAAATCTTGCTTCTGATCCTAAGAATTAGGAGCATGGAAAAATTATTCAGACTGAATGACTTAATATTCCTTTCTTCATCCATAAAATTGAGCTGAAACCTGTAGCATCTACTTCAAACGGTTTCTTTGAGGCTCAGATACAGCAATGTATATAAAGCACTCTAAAATAATAATTTATTTTTCCCCAATTATGTGTAAAAACAATTTTAACATCCTTTTTTTTAAGCTTTGAGTTCCAAATCCTATCCTTCCTTCCCTCCACTATCCTTCCCTGAGATGGTAAGCAACCTGATAGAGGTTATACATGTGCAACCATGTGAAACATTTCCATATTCGTCATTTTGTGGAAGAAAATTTGAACTGAGAGAGAGAGAGAGAGAGAGAGAAACAAAGTTTTTAGCTTATCCCCATTACATATAATGCTTGCTGATGGTTTTAGATAGATGCAACTTATGATTTCAGGAAAATTCCATTTATTCCTATGCTTTCTAGTATTTTTAATAGGAATGTGTGCCATATTTTGTCAAAAGCTTTTTCTATATCTATTGAGATAATTATATGATTTCCGTTGGCTTTTTTATTGATATAGTCAATTATTCTTTTCAATTAGTTCTCCCAATATTGAATCAGCCCTGTATATCTGGTGTAAATCCCACCTGATCATAGTGTATGATCTTTGTGATATGCTGCTGTAATCTCCTTGTTAGTATTTTATTTAAAATTTTTGCATAAATATTCGTTAGGGAAAATGGTCTGTAGTTTTTTCTCTCTGTTTTTTGCTCTTCCTGGTTCAGGTATCAGCACCATATTTGTGTCATAAAAGGAATTTGGTAGGACTCCTTCTTTGCCTATTTTTTCAAATAGTTTATATAGTATTGGAATTAATTGTTCATTAAATGTTTGGTAGAATTCACTTGTTAATCTGTCTAGCCCTGGGGATTTTTTTCTTAGGGAGTTCATTGATAGTTTACTCAATTTATTTTTCTAAAATGGATTATTTAAGTATTCTATTTCCTCTTCAGTTGTTTTGGGCAACTTATATTTTTGTAAATATTCATCCATTTCACTTAGCTTGTCAGATTTGTTGGCATATAATTGGGCAAAATAGTTCCTAATAATGGCTTCAGTTTCCTCTTCATTGGTGGTGAATTCACTCCTTCATTTTTGATACTCTTAATTTGGTTTTCTTTCTTTCTTTTTTTAAATCAAATTAACCAATGGTTTATCTATTTTTATTGTTTTTTTTAAATATAAAACCAGCTGGTTTTCTTACTTTCAATCTTATTAATCTCTCCTTTGATTTTTCAGGATTTCCAGTTTGGTGTTTAATTGAGGATTTTTAATTGGTTCTTTTTCTAGTTGTTTTTTTTTAGTTGTATGCCCAATTCATTGATCTTCACTTTCTCTATTTTATTGATGTGTTTAGAGATGTAAATTTTCCCCTAAGTACTGCTTTGGCTGTATTCTGTAAATTTGGGTATGATATCTCATTGTTGTTATTCTCTTTAATGAAATTATTGATTATTTCTATGATTTGTTCTTTGACCCACTCATTCTTTAGGTTTAGAATAGTTTCCAATCAATTTTTAATCTGTGTTGCTACAGCCCTTTATTGAATGTAATTTTATCACAATACAATCTGAAAAGGATGCATTTAATATTTCTGCTTTTCTACATTTGGTTATGAAGTTTTTGCGTCCCAATACATGGTCAATTTTTAGGTAGTTACCATGTGTCTCTGAGAAACAGATATATTCCTTTCTACTTTCATTCCATTTTCTTCAGCAGTCTATCATATCTAACTTTTCTAAAATTCTATTCACCCCCTTAACTTCTTTCTTGTTTATTTTGTGTTTAGATTTATCTGATTCTGAGAGGGGAAAGTTGAAATCCTCACTAGTATAGTTTTATTGTCTATTTCTTCCTGTAACTCATTTAACTTCTTTAAAAATTTAGATTCTGTACCATTTAGTGCATATATGTTTAGTATTGATATTACTTCATTATCTATAGTTCCTTTTAGCAAGATGTAGTTTCCTTCTTTATCTCTTTTAATTAGACTATTTTCCCTTTTGTTTTGTCTGAAATTGCAATCATTACCCCTGCTTTTTTTTCTTTTTTACTTCAGCTGAAGCATAATAGATTCTGCTTCATCGCTTTACCCTATGTGTACCTCCTGTTTCAAATGTGTGTCTTGTAAACAACATATTATAGGATTCTGGTTTTTAATCCATTCTATTATCCACTTCTGTTTCATGGGTGATTTCATCCCATTCACATTTATAGTAATGATAACTAACTGTATATTTCCCTCCATCCTATTTTTCCATTATTTCTTCTCTCTCCCTCTCTCTCTCTCTCTCTTTCACCTTTCACTCTGTCCTTTCTCACAAATGTTTTACTTCTTACTATTGCCTCCCCCAATCCTCCCTTCCTTTTATCAGCCCCACTCCTGTCTCTTATCCCTGTTCCTTTTTAGTTTCTTATAGGGTGAGACAGATTTCTACATCCAGCTGAGTGTGTATGTTATTCTAATTGAGTTAATTTTGATGAAAAGTTCAACAGTTGCCCCTCATCCCCGCATCTTCCATTCCACTTTAATAGCTCTTTTCCACCTTTTTTATGTGAGATAATTTACCCATTCTATCTTTCCCTTCCCTCTTCTCCCAGTGCAATCTTCTTTCTCACCCCTTAATTTTTTTTTACATCATCCCATAGTACTCACACCTGCACCCTCTGGTGTAGGGAAATAAATGATTTAAACTATATTTGGGGTTGACCACCCAAGTTATTTTCTTGGATTTAAACTCATATTTTTCAGTCTATTCCTTTCACTCATGTACCAGTGTAGGGACTACTTCACTAGTCCAGATCCTAACTGGTCCGTACTTTCTCATTTTGTGACATTTTTGCCTGTTTTTCTTTCTTTCTTTTTCAACATTTATTATTTCTCTGAGCTCTGGCACATATTCTGTGTACTATAATGTGATGAGAAACATGTATGTTGTTTAATGTCCTTATTTAGTGATACTATGTTTTTTTTTAGTTTTAAATTTAACAGTTGGTTTAATTCTATTTTTCCTTTTATTATCCATTATTTTCATTACCTTTCTCTAAGATTTACCTGAGAAAATATTAAGATCTACTATCATTTGTGTTTCAATGTTTTTCTGCAACTCGGTTAGCTTTATAAATTTAGATGGCATGCCATTTGATGCATATATTGGTTTATCATTTATCATTTCTTTAAGCAAAATGGATTTACTTGTTTGGTTTTCTTAATAATTATGAATTTTTTTTCTTAAAAAATTGTCTGATAGCATGATTGAAACTTCTGCTTTTTGGATTTACCTGATACACACTGAATTTTGTTATAGCCTCTTATTTTCACTCTGTATGTCTTTGTTTTAAATTGTGTTTCTTATGTTCACAATTTCTGGATTTTATTTCCTTATTCAGTCTGTAATTCTCTTTCATTATATTGGATTGTTAATCTACTGTAATTGTTAGGTTTGTGCTTTTCTCCTTTTATTTCTTTTCTAGGCCTATGATTTTATTGGTCTAGGGAATTTCAAAATAAGAAAACTCCCTCTACCAGTGCAAGTTGACTCCTTCTCTGTACTTTATAGGGTTACAGGGTGCCTAGATCACTAAAAGGGTAAGTGACCTGCCTAGGGTCACACAGCCACTATGTGTGAGAGACAAAACTGAACTAAGGTCTTCTTGACTTTCAACTCCTTTTTCTCTCTCTTTAAGAAAAAATTTTCAATTCTGTTCCAAATTCTCTCCCTCCCTTCACCTCTTTCTCACCCGTTAAAAAGGCAAAAAATACAATACTCATTACACACAAAAAGTCATGCAAAACATATTTCCTCATTAGCCAAGTTCTGGGGGGAGAGGGGGGAGAGGAACAGAAAAAGAAGAGAAACAATGCTTCTATCTTCACTTCAAGCCCTTCAGTTATCTATCTGGAGGTAGGTAGCATTTTTCATCATGAATCCTTTGGAATTGTGGATCACTGTATTGATCTTGATTAAGTCTTTCACAGTTGATTATCTTTGTAATGTTGTTATTGTATAAATTATTATCACTTTGCTTTGCATCAGTTCATATGTCTTCCCAAATTTTTCTGAAACCATCACCTTCATCATTTCTTATAGCACAACAGTGCTCCATCACATTCACATACCATCAATTATTCAGTCATTCCCCAGTTGATGGGCATCCCCTCAGTTTCCAATTCTTTACCACCACAGAAAAAAGCTGCTATAAATATTTTTGTACAATTAGGACTTCTTCCTTTGATCTTTCTGGGATACAGATCTAGTAGGGGTCAAAGGTATGTACAGTTCCATAGCCATTTGGGCATAGTTCCAAATTGCCCTTCAGAATGGTTGAACTATTTCACAGTTCCACCAACAGTGCATTAGTGTACCTATTTTCCCACATTCCTTCCAACATTTGTCATTGTCTTTTTCTGAAATCTTAACCAAACTGATGGGTGTAAAGTGGTAACTTAGAGTTGTTTTTTAAAAGCATTTTTTAAAGTATCAGCAATCTAGAACATTTTGTATGACTATTGATGACCTGGATTTCTTCTTCTGAAAATTGCCTGTTCATATCCTTTGACCATTTATCCATTAAAGAATGGCTCCCATCTTAATAAATTGACTCACTTCTTTTATTTTTGAGAAATGCGACCTTTATCTCAAGAACTTGCTGCAAAATTTTTATTCCCAGTTTCTGACTTTCCTTCTAATTTGGCAATATTGGTTTTGTTTGTTCACAAATTTTATTTCTTTTATTTTTTTGTAATCAAAATTATCCATTTTATCTCATGGGAACTTCTCTATTTCGTATTTGGT